CTGTGATAATTCTCAAACTTGTGACATAACTATGTCTCTACCAAAACGGTTTCCGATTGGTTGTTCCCATTCTCAGTTGTCACGTACAGGGCACAACAAACACAGCGACGCCATCCCAAAGGAACCTTTTCAGTTTCGGTCCCGCGCGTTCCAAAAAGGAATCTTACCAACTGGGAACAAAAGGGCGTCTCAACGATTTATCGCAGCTGAAAAAGAAAAAGAACTTCTTGCCTGTTTCACAGGAACAGATCGGCTCTTACAGCTGTCTGGGTTCTTTGGTAGACCTTCTGTAAGCAGGTAGAGCCGGTTAAGTTGCTTCTTGAATGTTTCTAGCGGAAGGAGTTCTTTCTTCTCGGCTTCTTCATTTTTAAACTCTTTTGAATCATCAAGTTCAGGGGTGCCGTGGAAGTCCAATCTTTCATCAAATGCTCTAAAGGGACAGAGAACGATTTGTTCACTTATAAAATCCGGCAAGCAAGAGCTAAAGTACGCTGCCCACGTAACGTCCTTTCTATTTTTAAAATAGCTTTTGATTCTTCTTACGTAAACAAGTAAACTGACTCAGTTCTATGTCAGAAATATTTCTCGTTTATCAAAGGAACTGACTTGCGTTTCCCAAGCGTGGCACGGAATGCGCGTTTCCCCCGCTGCGCTTGACGAGGCTTGATATCCGTATCTCGATGGGAACGGGTCTGGAACTAGAGCCTAGCACTTAACACCAGCACACTTTCTATTGCCCTTGAAACTAGTTCAACTATCCCCTACACTTAACACCAATTGACTTTCTCCTTCGTCACACGACCTTTTTTAGTATTTTGGAAAAAAGGCGGATTGATGGAAAAACAACGCAACAACATTTCATTTCAAAGAAGAAAGAGAGTAATTCAGATGACCTTCGATTTTGTTTAACCACGCTGTGACATTGGTGTCACAAAAAACGAAAAAAACAAACCCAGCAACACCCACTCAGCCAACCAGATGACAGAATAAAGGGGGTAAATTTCTCAAGAAACGATGGTGCTGATTCTGTGGGTGAGTATATCAAAATAATTTGGTTTAACAACTGAGTTAATAATATAAACTGCCCATTGTTAAGAGTTTCTAAGGTGACGTTTCGAGCGCTGGATCTTCCTCAGAGCGAATAAACCAGACGAAAGACTTAGGATCACCAAGTTTCGTGATTCCTGCGTTAGAAACCAGCCAAGTGACCTACGTTAACTTCTGGTCTCCAATTGGTTACTAGTTCACAGTTGATGTTATTGGCTGTTGCTATTACAAAGATTTATCGACACAAAGTCAAACTTTAGAAATAAAGACTTACAATTGGCGTTCTTTTAACAGTTGTTTCAGTTTAACCTCACACCTCACGGCTTTGACTCGCTCACACAACGATTTCGTGTCGGGGGAAACAGCTACAGTGAATTTGTAACATAAGTCAGCCATTTCATACATCTTCTGAGACTATTGGAAAAACGAGAACAAAATCAAAGTAAGTCGGCCGTTGTTAATAAAAGACCAGTGACAGAAAGAATGCCAACTATTCTAGTACAATTTGAATTTGTAAACGTAATACAAACGTGGACTACATGTTTCATTCTGGATCTGTGCAAAGTTAGATCTTGGTCATGAAATTTATTTGCATGGTAATAATTCACTCATGACAGTAACTGGTTTCTGCCTTTTTTTTCAATAATATGGGACCTTTATGGTTCTTGTTTTATGCTGCCTCAGATAAAAGCATAAATTAGAAAAACATATCAGAACTGAGAAGTATGAGCACTTTTTAAAACCCTAACATCAGTATGCATACCCTCCATATTCTTCTCAATCTATTCCTTGGTACAGACAAAGAGAATTCATTTTTCAATCAAAGTTTCTTAGGTTGGTGATCATTTCCTTTATTCTCACGATCTTAATGAATGATTCAGTAGTAATTACTGTCAGGAGAAATTAGATGCTGGTCACTCTAAAGTTTTAAAGAGGTAGACCTCTAAAATCTTGTTTCCTGCTTTCTGCTTTCTGCACTAGTTTAATTAGAGGATGACATAGTTGACAGCGACCAAGAGGCCAGTTCAGGTTCCCTTGCCAGCAGTACTTGAACACCTCAACAATTTGACCCCTTAGAGTGACTGACATCAAATTTCTCCCGACAATACCCCCCCTGAATCAAACATTAAGGCCACAAGAATAAAGGAAATGATCCCCAACAAATAAAAGATCATTAAACACATTTTCCTTGTTGGCACGTTAGGAAATGTAAAGAGAACAGGATGGAGAATATGCATACTGATGTTAGGGGCAAAGGTTAAACCCCACAGTCAACACGTGATCAACAGAGCAAGGTCATGACCATGTGACCACCTTACCTAGAAAATCAAACTATTGAGTGAAAAATTCATAGAGAGGAGTTCTGTAACTGACTAACAGCATACAAAACTGACCCAGCAATCAAGTACATGTACTCACAGCATAAATATTTCCAAGTAGAAAGTGATACACAGAATATTCCTGACAAGTTTCCATAGCAGTGTGCAGAAGAACAACAGAGTCATGGGTGTGATTTGCATGGTAAAGTACTGCTGCCAGGCTCATCAGTGCACGATCTTTGTGCTCCCTTAAAAAAAATATGACAAGATTACATAATGAACAACAATTTTCAGGACATTTTTTTGAAAAGAGAGGATTGCAAGATGGATTAGACATGAAGAGAACTATTCATGTCTCAATACAAAGCATGTTTTTTCACAATTGTCTTTACCAACAAGGCCTTTTACTTCCACACCATTCCTATATTATCAAAGTAAAAGAGGATACTATTAAATCTCTTCAAATGATACAATCAGATTAAATCAGATTTTAGTTTGTTAATTTTTGTCAGAAAGAATCCACAAAAACTCCCTTTGGAAAGAGGATGAGAAATAACAAAAAAATCCACCAAAAAGATATTTGAGGAGATCTAATTGTCTTACCTTGGTGAATAATACAAAGCTTGTCTTAAACATTCCACAGCATGCAGAGCATTTCCTTTAATTCTCCAATAGTATGCAGCAAGATTAAGTAAAACCCACGAAGTTGAATTCTGTACAAAAACAACAAATTTCTAAGAGAGGTGAAAATAAACTATTGGAGAGGAGTGAAAACATGGTGTGAAGAGCACATGATGGAATGATTTTTACTGCATAATCTTAAGCCTGCATGATTAAAGAACCCAGCTTCAAATCCTCCTCTCTGAGATTAATGTGCTGCTGTTTCTCAGAAGTGATAAATAATAATGATATAACATCTATTGGAACCATTTCCTTTAACCCTTTCACTCCCACAAGTGACCAAGACAGAATTTCTCCTTACAATATCAATACAATATCAAGCAGGTAGGTGATGAGAATAGAGAAGAATATAAATTTAAATGAAATTTTGTAGAATTGTCTGTTCAAATTACTGCCCCTGCCATAAAAATTGATTCAAATGCCCCACTCAATTTTTTTTGTAAAAGGCAAAATCGGCAAATGTGACTTTCTACAAATTTACAAGTCTTAAAAACCTTGACCTTGTAGATGTTTTCTTCTCTCACCATTCACTTGCGAAAACACCTCTATGTATTAAGATATAACACTTGACTGTATTTCCCTGGAAATACTTGAGACTTTTGGTTACAAATTCCCACTCAAGCCAGAGAAGCTTTGAAATTATCCGCACATTACTGTTGACTATGTGATTGAGAAAGTGCAAAAGCCAATCAGTCAACACTTGAAGTGCAAATTCATCTCCAAAGTGATTCAATTATGCATTTATTTAACTTCAGATCAATATAAAATCATGCTCACCTTTTCAAGAGCCAGACTCACTTGGCCTCCTAATTCTTCTGCAGTTTTAAAATAAGATGACATTGTTGTAAGCAGCATTGGCTCAGCAGTGGAATTCAGCAGATGGCGATGCTTTACTCCCTCAAGATGATCATAGCTGTATATAACTGTTGGTAGCTGAGCTTGACAAACTGGTGGTTGAACATCGGAGGGAAGTGACTGGCAAAGGTTGAGATGATCTGGAAGACTGAAATAATTTAACCAATGGGTAAGAGTAGTAATACTAATTATCCCTTTACACCCTAACATCAGTATGCATATTCTCCATACTGTTCTCTATACATTTCCTAATGTGTTGGCAAGGAGAATTTGTTTAACAATCAAGAGCTTCTTCAGTTGATTATCATTTCCTTTATTCTCATGACATTAATGTTTGATTCATGGGTGATATTGAAAGGAGAAATTAGAGGCTGGTCACTCTCAGGGATTAAAGGCTTATATGATAAGCTGAATTGTGCATGCATTTGATTGATTGGTTCTTACTTATGATCTGTCGGAGAACAGATGCATTTCTGTATATCACCTTAATTTTCTTCTAAGATAGCTGCAAACCATACCTGTATTTATTTGTATTTCTACATTACTGACTGAGGTACAAAACCTTAATTAGTCTTGACTTAATTTACAGTTGAACATTGACAAATGACCAAAATATTTTTATACAACAAGCCGAATTACACATCCATTTTGATTGTTTCTTACAAAATGACATCACTATTAATGACATTTTGCTTTTTTTAACATATTGAGAAAAATGATTCCATGTTCCCCTTAGTCTTTAGGGTAATGAATCACAGAAGACATCAAAATCTTTTGACAAAATCAGTGGCACACTCGACAACGTCTCATGTGTCACCTTTTAGGTTTTAATCTGACATCATCTGTGATCTATTACTCTACAGACCCATGAGAACATGGAATCTACTTATTAATTAGAACTTGACAGCAACCTCCAATGGTGGAGTGTATTTGCCTCAATAGAGTAAGCTTTAAAATAAATGTAGACAAAGTATATACAGAAAAATTGACTGATGGCCACTTTTATCAACAGTAATAGTAAGACCTTTAAACCATATTTCTGAACTTACTTGATGCCTTTCTTAGAAAAGGGAAGAGTCATATCTAGATGTAATTCAAACTCAGAAATGTGGCCTCCTGCATCAACACAATCAGGATCCTCTTCGTAAAATGATTTTTGGATTTCTGCTCTTTCCTTCTCTCTTGCTTCAATAACTTTTCGTTTCTCTTCCAGGTACTCTTCTCGTAAAATCTTTAACCTATCAAATGCTGTTTGTTGCTGAATGAAGGTGACCAGATCGTAGGGTCGTTTGAGATTGAACACAGAGTCATCCTAGAAACAAATCATGTATCAAATTGGGTCAAATCCAAAGAAAATTCAATCTTGTTTGAGTTAGCCAAGGTCTACTGTATTTTGCTATACCTGGGACAGAAAATTTCACATTTTGTGCATATTATGTCCAACAGCCTAGTTTGTTTCACAAAAGTATCTTTGCTAAATAGCATAGCTTCTTACCAAAAAGTGAAAATGTGTATCTCGAAGACTACAACAAACATAAGATTTAAGTTTGATTGAAATGAGTGTTATTTTTAATATAAGTAAATTTCGAAATAAGTTCGCGCTTAAAGTCTACAAAATAAAAATATCTTATCCAAAATTATCAATTTATTTCAAAGATAATTCAACAACATCAATAATTCACTTAGGTTCTTCAATCAAAATATTTCAGGTACTTATCCTTTCGAATCTAATTAGTCTATTCACTAAAGTGACATCTCATTCATGTCAGGCAGAGAACACTATCGATGATTTTATCAATTTTACTCTCCAAGAGTAACGAATGTCCAGAAACTTTCAATAGCACGTCAACCAGTCAATGGATGAAGAACATCACGATAAAAATGGGCAAACGATGAATGAATTAAATTTAACACCAAACTCGAAGCTTATTCAAACAACCGAACGCCGTAATTGATGTGAATAATTTAAAAGATAAAAATTTAGATTCGTTACCTGCTGTTGGATTCTTCCATCCTCTGTTACAAACCAATGGGTTGCTCCTTTACAGAATGGATGTAAACATACAATTCCGATGGAAATAAAATAAAAAAATATACTAAAATCAAACATATTTTCACGATGGTTTCATCATTTTCCCATACATCGTTTCCTAGTTCCCAATCTTTCTGAAAAATATGACACAGGAACGAGGTCACTACGTCGCGTCTCACTGATTACCTCCAAACCTGTATCTTGTTTCATCATAACGATATTTCCGCGTTCAAAGCGTTTTCGGAACATCTGCTCGAAGGAATACCGTAGATAACTGGGATTGCTTTGTGGGATCAGCAACTAAATACGTCAATTCACCCAACTGCATCACTGTGGGTGTACCCTCCTCGCAAAATTAAAACCCTTGCTTCGCTTGCTGGGAGGTCGGTGATGTCGGTTATTTCTCTGCCGGTCCACTCCGTCCCTATAAAAATCTGCCAAAGCTGAGCTATTTCTTACACAAACAGCTGCTTTTTAAGCAGTTTTCTTGCCTTTAACACACAACATAGTCATTCCAAATTGCTATTTGAAATCGGTGAAAGTAGTTATTTTTCAGTTGTTTCCGATGGGTGTCTGGCTCACTTAGCTCGAGTTAATAGAAAAATGGAGCAAAACGGAAATTTGCCCCTCTTTGCAGACTTACGACATGTGAAAGTGTCTTTGTTGCTCCCCTATCCATAAACTAATGGTACCCTACCTTCCTCAGCTTTCAAACTTACAAAAATGTTTATTTTACTATAATCTACTCGCCCCATTCAACATTTGAGAGAGTGGAGTGTTTTGAGCCTATTGCTGACCCAACCACTTACATCAGAGTACAAAAATCAATAAAAAGGAGAAATCAAACAAGAACTTCCTAAGTCTAGAGTAATAACTACTGTTCTCGGGAAACCTGTTCGCAAGACTCACGCACTTTCCTTTAATATTAATAATAACAAAGTGTACCCTTTCCCCTCTGTAACAGTTGTACTTTCTATGTGAGGTAATCCTCTCGAAAAGTGCAAGTTCTAAGTGCAACATTTTTTTTTCTTGTTGGTTTTTCTTTACTTCTCTTTTTCTCTTTACGTGTTTGGAGTCCATAAATTTAAGTCTTTTCACTCTGTGATTATACTTGTTTCATTAACGCTTTTCTTGTCATTTCGTTGCCGCCTTCTGTCGCTCTGTGCAGCCTGCATCATGTAATATAACTGTTTCCTTTTTTTTCGCCAAGAGCAGTTGATCAATGTTTCTGTAGCCGTAACAATGTATTTTATAGTCTTGTTGTTCGTTATTTTTTTAGGTTGTATACTGTGTAACTAGTGTAACCGTTTGTTATTTTCTTTAGTTTCAATCAACGTCAGTCGTAGAGTATTAAAGATCATGTTTGTATAAAGACGCGGAGTTGTCAATTCCAGCCACAGATTCCGCATAAGTGCAGTTACAAAAAGACTTAGCCACAGTTTGCTGAGGATGGATCAGGGGAAAATGATTCCGTCTCGACCAATAACTACCCCTAAGTCATGGAAGAAGGGTAAAAAAAACCTTTGGTTAAAAGAGGCAGAAAATTGTGCTTCATTAACGAATTCCAGGCCTCAATTATTCGCCAGCTTTATACTGACGTATGGTTCAGCTTGCCAAGTCGCCCAGGGCGTTTATTTGAAAAAAAAAACCGTACAGCCAAAAACTGCCTTCAAATTCATGGAGAGAAACAAATAGAACTTTTCATTTCCTCCTTTTGTCCGAACTTAACGATTATTTAAATATAACAAACCTCTGTATTCATTTGGAGAGAGTGCACAACTTAACACGTTTTTTGTTCATTACTTTACGCTATGGTGGCTCTATCTAAACTAATACTGTATTGAATTATATAGATACTGATGAAATACCGGTATTTTTCTTTTAACTAAAAAATCATCTCTTCATCGCGTGCAGTAAAGATACCATTTTTATCTTTCACGTGCGAGGATATTGGTGTCGCCATGGTTACTAACATGATTAGCCAATTACGAGAGAGCTTCCCGCTGAGGCGCGCGGCTGGTTCTTTTGAAATTTCATTCACAAAAAAAAAAAGTAGTTGTCTTTTATGTAGGAATTTCATCAGTATCTATAAAATAAACAGAACATTACAAGGCCGCTTGGGGATACGAATTTTTATCTTCGAGTGCTGAAAGTATCTCTTCCCTCTCTCGTGAGAGATACTTTCAGCACTCGAAGAAAAAATTGGTATCCCCAAGCGGCCATGTAATATCCTCTATATCTTCATATCATTTCTTACAGGAATTTCTCATACATATTCATATGTAAAGAAACATACGAACGCTATAAGGCAATAATATATTGTGTTTTATCTGAACTTATTTCTGTTGATTCATCACGAAGGACTTGAGAACTTGTAAAGGCGGGAATGTCCTCGCTAGATAGTCATTAAACTTATCTCTAAACTTTTCCAAGTAATACAACCATTTGTCATGATATTTTATGTATATTCATCATCGTTGCTTTGAAGACCGATAGCGATTAAAAAATGCCATAATCACTCCACAGGAAAACAGCCCTAACATGAACCGAAGCGCGTCCAATTTTCGTACGATGGAGCGCAGATACTTGATGGCTCTGTAGAGCCGACCTGACGGTCGTTCAGGCCATGGATCATTCTGCAACAAAGATAATTACATTTGTCAACTATTACTAATAAATAAGAGAAAATCAATAGCCGCCATCGAGACTAATTTCGGGAAAAACGACATGATTAGGATGCGTTTTCTCTTGTCGAACGCGATAACCAAATAAACGTTTGACGCTCCGACGCAAATGTCATTTAATTAGTCATTTGTTTGGTCAGTCAGTTTGTCAGTCAATCAGTCAATCAATCAGGCGGCACAAGTCAGTCAGTAAATATGACCGCCAGCCTATTGGTCAGGCAGTAAGTCAGCCAGCCAGTTGGTTAGCCAGTCAACTAGTCAGTCAATCAATCAGTCAGTGTAAGTCGGTCATACAGTTTGTCAGCCAGTTGGGCCGGTCACACATTTTGTGGGCTAGCCAGTCAGTCAGCCACTTTGCCGTCAGCCAGTAAAAGTTGGCGAGTCCAGCAATAATTTAGTCAGTCAGTCATTCCGTAAGTCTTTCAGACAATAAGTTGGTGAGCTAGTCAGTCCGTAGTTTAATGGGTGTGACAGTCGGTCAGCCAGTCTATCAGTTAGTTAGTAAGCTATTCATTCAGTTGGTACGTTGATCAATCAGTCAGTCAGTTAGTCTGTCAGACCGTCTTGTCGATCAATCAGTCACTCAGTCATATGAAAGTCACTCAAAACCATCACACATAAGATCAAAACGAGTTCAATACATTAGGATAAAACTACACGGCAATCATGATTACAAACCTTAGCATAGCCATATTGATTAAGCCAGTTGATTAGCGTTGGTTCATTAACAGTCAGGATTGGTAGATATTCCCTAGGACTGTCTCTCCACCACCAGTGCTTTACCAGTCTGAAAGAAAAACACAACAGGATAGACATTATGTAGGGAAATAACAACCGGTTATATGTTGAAGAGAAAACCGCAATTTGTTACCTAATCCACAACAGCATAACTCTCAGTTAGTACATGCGCTACGATGTGTCACTGAAGTGTAGAGGTGGTAAAAATTCTGAAGTTTTTTTTCAATTGAAACTTTACCCTCTATTAGAACCTAAAGATATAATAATATCTAACTAACCTCGTTTTCACAGTCCGTACTGTAAGTTCCGGAACCTCATTTTTTCAGTTCGGCTTTATGGCCTGCGCGCCTTGCGCTTCAGCCAAAAATCCGAGCGCTAAAAACTCCGTCCGCAACTTAGAGGACAGACCTCGAACTCAGTTAGTAAGAGGTGTAAATAACTCAACAATGATTGTAAAGAGGCGTCGAAGAAAAGTCTCTGCTAAAGTTAACAATATTGCCGGGCGAAGAAAACGTCCAACCCATATAAGTCACATGCTTACGTTTGGCTATGATGGGAATTCTGAAAGGAGCCCCCGAATGGTAAAATATTCCGGTCGTATATTAAAGCGTTTCTGACATCTATTGCCAAATTCTAGGAGATAAGGCATCTGAAACGATGAAGCATCTCTAGTGAACTTCTCCGTCTGGTCTTCAAAAGTTCAACTCTTCCCTTTCAGTCGTTTTGTCAGCCTTACTACAATATTGATTTTATATTTTCAGGCTGCTTATCAGCACAACATTCTGTGTTAAAGTTGCATTATTTAGATAGGACAGTTGAGGACGAAAGCTCCATAATTCATGACAAGGCTGTGCTTCCTAATCTTGTGACTTTACTGACCTGTTGTTATGAAGAATATCAGATAGAGAAGAAATATTCTTTGGTAGCTCTGTGTAGTGGTATTTGTAATGCCGGGCCCTGATGTAAGTGGGGGGTTTGCGCGGGAAAGGGTTTTTCGCCAAAAGATCTAAAACATCTTGTTGGCCCTGAAGCAATCTGTAGACAAGGTGTACAAACCACGGATTATATTCATAGCTTCCAAGCGCCGCAAACCAGATCTGCCAGTCAAGACGTGGCTGGTGTGGCGCTGAAATACAGAAGGCATGTGGCAGTGAGTGACAGTAAAAAAGCTAAAGCGGTTTTCGATTGAGTGCCGTATAACAAAAACCAAAGCTGTCACAGCAACCAATCAGAGGAAAGGAAAATACCTTAAGAACCAATGAGAATTCAAAGTAAAGCCAAGCTAGCTGTCCAAAGCGCGGGAAGGGAAAACGCGTGCGACCAAGTCTCGATTGGTGTTAGTTTTGCATCTGATTGGTTGAGAGAGTGGCGCAAGTTTTTTTGGGCCAATCACAGAGCGAAGTAAAGGAAACCAACGACATTCCGGATTACATTCGACACTCAAGTGAGAATTGCTCTAAAAAATCTAGATTGTTTATATGGCTCGCACAATTACACGTAAGTATTCTGCCTGTTAGTTGAGGTTCAACTGTGTACAAATTCAAGATTAATCTAGGTTTTGTACCTCGGTAATAGGAATAGTAAAAGAAAAAAAAGCCATTCACTTACCAACTAACGGTGGAGACTCTGAAACATTACCAGGTTTGTAGTGAAAATGGTATTCCTATGATGGGAGCAATCAAATAAATACAGGTAAGGTTTGCTACCACTTTAGTAGAAAGAAGTATTGATCAAGGAGGTAAACAGGAATGGTGGCCAGCGAGCAGGCTCTTATTATTAATGCTGTGGCACGGGCAGTAAAGCTAGTGAGATTCAAACACCGACAAGTGACGCGAGCCTGCGAGAGGTCTGGGGGGGGTTATGGCACGAAAATGAGAGTGACTCATTTTTCGTGCCAGACCTCTCACAAGCCCCTGTGGGCTTGAATCTTGCAGGCTTAGCCCCTCATGCCCCACTGTTTCTGAGAACCTGCGCGTAACGTACAGTAATAGACATCTTACCAACCAGGGCCCATCAGGATGATTACTTCCCTCGATGATGACCTCTGGGCGCCCACCAACACCGGTCATACTAAAGTATCAAGAGAAGAGGAGGAAAATCGCTTTAGCCTGCTATGCAAAGTGCAAGAGTAGTTTTGCTGGAAGGTGAGCTTCATTCCTTACCTTCTAAATAATCCGTATGCATTCACAAGTTCAAAGGAATCTGTCTTTTGACGCCATCTTGAGATCACAGGCCACAGATTTGCCTTAGCACTATGACTGATATCTGTGTAAGGAACCTTAAAAATAAAATTTAAAAAAAAAAACAGCTTGTGTTAGTATCTTAGCCCTTTTTAACCACGGCACAGTAACTGCCCGTGAGGCAAAAATCTGTCAAGAGGCCCATAACTTAGATATCTCTCGACTGGGGTGAGAAAATTGAGAAGTAAGCCTACAAGATCCTTGTGAACTGATGAATAGCACCTAGTGCTGACAATGAAATCATTGGCTTCACTGAGCTATTGACCTTAATATCAGTATGCACTTTCTCCATACTATTCCCTATACATTTCCAGATGCATATACAGATAACAAAATCTCTGCTTTTGATACTCAGTCAGTTTAGATCATATATTTTTTCAACACAAACCCTTATTTACTCAAAAACTTTCCTCACCAGGCTTATAGCAAACATTCCTAGAGCTGCATAACTGAATACTGCCCATTGCAGTAATGACCATAACTTATTCAAGATGCCTTTTTGCTTGATGCACCTACAAAATCAACACAACTGTTGTAGAATTAAAAAAAACATGCATGTAAGAACCCAGGTTTTTTCAAGTTAGCTTCTGTAAGTTCTCAAATAAATGTCGACTGCCGTGAAATTAGGTTGCCTAGATTCTTAATCAGGTTCAACCAAGGGCAACCAATAAAATATCCAGTAATTGACAGGATGGAGGGGTTTGAACCAAGGACTATCAGACTACAAACCCAGCACGCTAACCATTTGGCCACACTGCCAAATTAGACAAGGCCCCTGATATTCTGATTTTGACCATTGGGTTATTAAACATCCTCATAACTATTTTCTACTTATGCGGTAAGCTGTTGGTTGTTGCGCATACCTTCAACTGCCCACACTAACAAACAGCATATGTCACACATACACCCAAAAACAGGCCTGCAAGATCCTAACTTTCTTCTCTCACTGATCCTTGCCTGCAAGGATCCAGTCACCTGATACATGCATGTTGTAGCACACAATCACCACATATGTGGTGTTATCCTTCAAGTTAACCCTTCAACTCTCAGAAATGATTGATATGTTACTTCTTTATATAATATCTATAGATTATCCAGCCAACAATAGATGAAAAAACTCAAACTTATCAGGTAGAAGTTGTTATCTTGATCTGACACCAAATTTATAAGGAAATGTGTAGCAGGTAGATTGGAGAATTAACAATCAGATCATGGTAATTTAAGGGTTAAGCTTACCCTGACACTGATGCAATAATCTCAACACTCAACGATAAGACACCAAGCCATATGGTAACTGGCACTGCTTGATCCACTGCCTTGAAGAATTGATTCTGAGAGAATGCTATATGCAAAACGAAGCAGACAAATGTTAGCCAGTAGAAAAATTGATTGAAAGACAGGCATCATTCATAAAATGGAAAGTGGGTAATAGCTAAATGTAGAATGTTAACCTACCCCTCACCCACTACTAAGTTAACCCTTTATACCCTAACATCAGTATGCATATTCTCCAAACTGTTCTCTACACACTTTTAACTTACTGACCAGGAGAACTTGCTTAAAAATCAATAGCTTCTTTAAGCTGCTGATCATCTCCTTTATTCTCGTGACCTTCATGTGTGCCTCAGGGGTAATATGGTAGGGAGAAATTAGATGCAAGTCATTCTTAGGGGTTAAAGGGTTAAATAGGCAGATTTAAGAGGACCAAAAAATTGATAAAATTTGCTACTTACTTATCTCGGCCTTCACAATGCTTTTAGAAGAAAGCTCTAGAGCAAAGAGCTTGACCATCCCATAACTTATGACTGCTATTGTTGATAATGAGGCAATTCTCCCTAGCACCTTCACAATTTTGCTTTTCTGAGCTGGTTTGTGAATGGTGGATCTTTCAACTGTAGAAAGAAATTAAATTAAGTAAATAACTGGAAAAACATAACACAAATAAACCTTGCAAAGGATTCTCAAGTCTTCTTACCAAGCCAAGATGGTAGAATTGTGACCAAATGCTCATCATCAAGAATTGGCAACAATAATGAAATTGCCAGTAGGTTGAAGAAGTTGTAGTTGCCAGTAAGAATAATCAGAACTTGAAAGAAAATCTAAATAAACAACAGAGAAACAATGTTGTAACATCAACACCTGTAGAGGACTTGGGAATAACCACAATTGGTATTTAAGCATGTGGCTTTCATTTAAAAAACAAAACATGCATTGAGAAGTTCTTTCATTAGTTTGTTCATAGCTATTGAATGATCATGCATTGAAAAGCTTTTATTTGTCTCTGATGACATAAAAGAAAAGTACAGAGCCTCCTCCACACTCCCCTGTTTTGCATCATTATGCAGGGTTTCAGTAAATTTCTCCGAGAGCAGCTGCAGATGGTGTCATAGGCAGCTGTACTGTTGGGCACAATACAAACACAAAAGCCAGTTTGCCTGCTGAACAAATAGCAGTGGGAGGTCTTACAGGTAGCAGTTTTGGTGACTGGCTTTTTATAAAATCTCTTAGACGACAAGGATTAGGTTGTTGAGGAAATAATGAACCTAACAGAAATTAATTTGAAGTCACCATTACGATTGAGGTGAAAAAAGAAAAACTGCCAAACCATAATTACCTGTGAATAAAATGAAAATATTCTCAGGGATCGAACAGGAACAAAAAACAACCAAGAAAGTGCCATTAAAATAACATATCTGAAATAAAAGAAACAGGAAGAAAATCGAAAATAACGAAAAAAAAGTATGGGAGAAAACTGGTAAAACAAAAATAAATATGATCCTCTCAAAGAAATGGAAAAAAAGAAAAAAAAATACCAAGTAAAATTTCTGTCTTAGTTTACTTTGGTGCTACTATACAGCACCGTCATGAACTGTTAGTACATTTCCAGGTAGCTAAATTTCATCTTGTTCACCACATGTGCCACAAACCAACATGAAAATATGTGGTGTTGCGTCAGTTGTGGGTATAAAAAGATAATTTGGGTTTATCAATTGAGTCCATACTGTAATTTGGCCACTGTAAAGAGTTTTTAAAACTGACATTTGAACATTAACCCTTTCAGAGAGAGCCAATGTGATAATATCCACATCTTCACTCAGCAATTTTTGCATCCTTTCAATATCTAGGTTAATGTGTTTCAAATACTTCAATTGAGCTTCATATGGTCTAATTTAAGTCCTAATGAATTCTTAGGTTTCAGTTGATCAAGCTTATTTGCATGTTTTTATTTATTCAAAATTTGAAATTTTAACTCTTTTTTTCTATCACTTGTAATTAATAAATCCACACTGGGCCAATTACATGCCATCCTGTCTAAATACTGTCATTAGCATTATTATCATTATCATCATTATTATTATCATTATCATTATTATTACAATCATAATCAAAATAATAACAAAGTTCTTGAATGTAAATTGTTATCACCAGTCCAATTTGGGCACTAATAGGACAGTGTACACGTCATGCTTGTTATTGGACAGCGTAATAGGATAGTTGATGGTCATACCTGTGAAACTGGACAGTACGCATCATGTGCCCTCTCTGTTTTCATATATTTTGCTAAGACAACTTTTGCTTTTTTTATGAAAATATATAACCACCGCATAGTTTCTTCCTCAAATTTTGTCATAATATTGATTAATTGATAACAGGATTTCATGTCATCCAATTCTGTCCATAATCTTACTACCCTTTCGCGGTCTCCAAGTTTGTTAATCACATGTATAATTAAAGACTGAATTGGACTCTAATCAGGCCTATTACCACTATGCAGTGAGGTGTGGTGTTTAGTAAGTAGTTACTATTATGAAATGGTCAGTTTGAAGGAAACTGATCTCAGAATTGAATTAAGTTGCATGATCAGCATACCTTTACATTTTTGCACATTAGTCATGTGAGCTAGTGAAGTCTCACCTACACTATTGCAATTTTATTCTCCGTCTTTGGTTGATGACATAGTTACACCAAAACAATAACGCGCCACGGATAACATCATTGGCGTGTTAATGTTTCAGTACAACAATGACTGAAAGCTTCTGCAACTGGGTGAAAACTTCCCAAGATTCTGATGTAATTCTAAGTAATGTTACCCTTTAAAATTGTAAAAATTAAATTAAAAAAAAGGATTTCAACTTTAAGTCAAGTAATAATAATGGTATGAAATTAATGTGATAGGAGTATTCCATTTAAGAATTCAAAAAGTCTGTTTTAGAAGATACATTTAGATTCAATAGAGCGGTCATATTTTGCCAATATTTTTCCCTTTGAAAATCTTTCTTTGGCTTTCTTTATAGAACCATCTTGACACATTTCCTAATTTATGGTCTACAAAGCAACTAGTAACACTTCTCTGATGAGTAAGACTTAAACTAGAAGGAAAAAGAACCAAACACAATATTATTGGAGAACAATAGTACTGTGATGTAATTTATGAGCAAACTATATTGTTGTATCCAGATGCTACTTACGTTAATACAATGCTAAGCTTCTGAAACCATTTTGGAAGCTGGTGGGCATACCAGGCCAGTGGGGTGGGAATGCACTGAGACACAAAAAGAAACAAACAAACGATAAACAATCAAAATGTGTTCTACTGCATACATTGCAAAACCCAACACAAGAGTATTTTGGAAATATTTATGGAATCAGTAACCAACAAGGAGAGCTAAATACTTAAAAAACACATTCAAATTTTGGACTAGCATCTTGCATTTTTCAGAAGGCTCATCAACTTCAGTCACATTGCACTAAGCCATCTGGGGAAAAGTAGATTTACTTCCACAGTTGTGTGCCAATATATAGGCTCTTATAAATTAACACTTTTTTCTGTATTCAAGATAGTTCTAAATTTCAGACATATAGAGGACAAGGTGTTCATGCACCTACCCTTAGGAATTGGGTGTGGCATAGGTACAATTGATTGTTTGTGAGGAGGAATTTGTTCTGCAAGCCATACATTTTTTTTCAGCTAACACAGATAGTTCTCCATGTTGGAGAAAGGGATAGTTGCTTTAGCTTGATGATAAAAATAGTACATCTTTTAATACTCTCCAATTGAATATTCTTCTTTATAAAATAAATACCACAACTCTTACTCATGCTTAACTCTTTAACTGCCAGGAGTGATTAACATGTTCCTTTTCCTCAAGATATCTTTAAATTTTCCAGCACACAGGTAATGAGAATACTCAAACTTATCAAGTAGATGTTGTAATCTTGATCTAACACCAATTTCTTGTAGCTAAGTTACAAGGTAATGTATAGCAGCCAGAGGGGAGAATTAAAAATCAGAACAAGTGCATTTCCATGCAATGCAAGAGCAAAGTTGCAACACAATTGCAAAGTTGTAACACAAGTGCAAATTACAAATAGAGCCTGCATGCTTTCAAAATTTCATCTGTCTTGACTTTTTATGATGTTTTCTCATGTACTTTACTAAAAAGTAGTAACAAGATTTCTCTTACAATTTGGTATAACAAGCACTTAAGAAATTTTCAAAGACTACAAATTGCACTTGCTCCCATGTGCTCGGGAAATTTTTTTGTCTTTGAAAATTTTACTTGTGTCCTTATTAACACCAAATTGCAATTTAAATCATGGTATTACCAACACCAAGTGCATTATGAGAATGCCCAGCCTACCTGTGACTCATAATGCCAATCAAGAGCAGTGAGCCCCCACCATGTTGGACATCTACTTGACAATTTAACAACTCCAGAACAGAACATAAGTCTAAATGCCAGCCACTTCACTAACCACAGTGTGATGTTATCATGGTGACGCTGAGATCTGAAACAGTTGACCAAATATCAGCCTTGACCATTATAAAGCAGAGAGTGTTCTATTTGCTTTACACCGTTAGATCGGTTTGTACATTCCCTTTACTGTTCTTTATACAGTTCTTTAAATGCTAACATGGAGAACTTATTTGACAAGCCAGAGCTTCAGTTATTGGTGATCATTTCCTCTATTCTTGTGGCCTAAATCTGTGTTTTTGGTGTGATACTGTAAGGAGAAGTTAGATCCTAGTCACTCTTGGGGGTTAAAGGGTTAAGGGCAAACTTAAAGTTAAGTTTTATACAAACATGTAAATTCAGTACTACCTACTTGTTGTTCCTGAATTTGAATATATTGAGAGGAGATACCAGAATTGTCAAAAATCCAGTTTCCATGAGCAGAATATCCCTAAAAAAAGGAACAAAAATTCATGAATAGAACACCTTCAACAAAAGCAACAGCATATTGACAAGCTATCTAACAATCAGGGCTGACTTTCATTGATGTACAAACTACATGCAAGTGTTGGTAAATAATCAGCTGGAAATAAAACAATGCCACTGCAAACTTTTTTCTCTGATAAATCTACTGAAAGTGTGATAGCCAAAAATACTTGAATGTGTCCAAACAAAACAAAACCAACTGAAAAATCGAAGCAAAGTGAACAATTGAAGTGGTTACTAAAACTTAATTACAAATAATAAGTTACTACAATTATATGTAAAGAAATTGACAAACGAGAAAACGAAATAAAGGACAACAAAGACACTTAGATATGTTGTTCCAGATCTGAGGACAAATGCCTGGTTTAAGACAATATAAAATGATTTAAAGCGATTAAGAAACATGATCCAACACAGTTAAATCATAAAGCCAAATGGATAAAATTTATGGTAAGGTTTTTACATGAATGATACAAAGAAAGAGAAATTATGCAGAAAAAAGTAACAGAACAGAAAAGAAATGATTGCACTAGAAAACAAAAGAACTAATGAAAATGTGATGGAGAAAAAAATACAAATTTAAAATGAATAACATCAATATGATTTTTGGTGGCAACAGAAGGTATGTTGAAGATCTGAATGTAACTTACCACTGAAAGTAGACAAATGTTTGTCCAACCTAAATTTGAAAGAAATGAGTTCCTAATTATTCAGAGAAAACAATACATGTATAGTATGTCTTTGTTGACCCAAATAGCTATATCCTTTATCACAATATCCCCCATTAAACTGATCATAAGAATAGACAAAGTTGTAAGATAGTTGGTATAATTTTAAAATCATCAATTTACAAGGAGGTATAAAAGAAAGAACCATCATTAAAAGCCATCTTCTCACAATCGATAGAATTGTTGCTAGGGAAGGACAGTCTCCCATAACAAACGGCCTTCCGGCAAATACTTTGTTTTACCTGATATAAAGAGTAGTAAAGAAACCACAGAACAAAGAATGTGATGGAGTCCCTCCAGGACTTCAATGCCATGGCCAACAGAGAGAGAAGCATTCCAGTCAAACATAACAATTCCATTCCTGTTTCTGTGTTTAGTCCCAGCCTTGGCGTGAACCACAACAGGGTGGGCTTGTGCCAGAAATTTTCTTCCACTGATTGGCTTACTAAAGATATGAATTTACAGCTTAAAACTGATCTTAACCTCTAATTAAACACATCATAACTTTAAACCTTTGTTTTATTCCTCTTATTTATTCAATAAATGTTTGTTCACATGATAACACACTTTTCTACTTTTCCCATGCTAAAACAAATTTTGCAGAGCAGGCAGAAAATCCTGATGATTTGAATTTCAAAATAATTGCAATTTGTGTTGTGTAACTTTTGACCAGGATCACCCATGTAAAAGTATTAGGTAGTTTGCAGGCTTCCCGTCCTCTGTGCCATGATTAGCTATGGCCAAATAAACCCTTTCACTTCCAAGATGAATTTGGTAATTCTCCCTCATTACTACCATACATTTCCTAATAAATTAGATTGGAGAACTAAGTGTTATAACACGATTACACCCTCTGGCTGAAAGGCTTCTCTATTTTTAAAACCAAGACAACGTTTGCAAAATAAAATATTGGAATCGAGGGAAAAAGTTACGAATGTTAGTCACTTCTGAGTGTTAAAGGGTTAATTAAGCACTTATTAGACTGAGACTGGAAAGATTTTGAAGAACCCGATACCATTCCGTAGTCCTAAAGGCAATCCATTGTTTTATTTATCCAATAACCGTATGCATAATGAAGTGTGGGGCTGTGCGGATTCCTTTCCTAATACTTCTTTGACCAGACAGCAAACTCAAAAATACATAAAAAATATACATTAACGCTTAACCAAATACCACGTGTATTTAAATGATCGCTTAACATGAATCAAAACAAATTAAAACAATAGCCCATTCAGTGATTTTGGCGCGTGGTAAATTAAAATGATAAGGGAGTCGTTAACACTCCCCCTAAACGAAAGAAGGTAGCATCCTTGCTATAATCTTTACCTGAACGACCAAAAACATCGACAAGTACTACATATCTCACCTTCCCTTAGCGTAAGCTTAGCAGGGAGGACGCCGTTCTGTCCATAGAGACCTGCATACAAGATAGATCGACAAAAACACTTCACAAACCTTTACGCTAGAAAAATGAACAGTTTCAACCAAATCTTTACAATCTACCTGGTATCTGTATGTAGAGAGAGGAAAACGCAAAGAGATAGATGGCAGATATGGACCATAAAAACACGTCCCGTACGAGAATTTGCTTCCCGTAACCCGCCATGTTAGATTTCCCCTGCGCACCTGGGGACGAGTACTCGCAAAGCAGGTCATGTAAACTATACACGAAAAACAGCTGATAGCCACTTTGTATTGTCAACAGATTATTGTTTTGCTTCTTCTCTCAAGATCAAGTGATCATTGGCGCCGGATTTAAAGTGAAATTTGTCCTCTCATTTCGTGTTTTGTTTCTCAGAATACAAGTGAAATAACATCAAATCAGAAAAAAACCTGAATCGAGGACACATTGCTTGGGCTAATCGCGAAAGAAATGAATGGCTTCAGACTTCAAATATTCAAAGCAAAATCAACAGGTTGTAAGACAGGGTTTTCTCTGGTGTATGGCAGCCATCTATTTATTTGCTTTCACCTCTCTTTATGTCCAAATACCAGGTTAGTTGCTCTATCTGATCTTATTTTTGTACTACCTTCCACAACCTACCAATAACAGATCTCTTTGTATTCAGTTTGTATGTTTTGTTTAGTCATTTCAGGTCTCAGGGGAATTGCAAGGTTTATCGTTTGTAAATTATACGTACATGTACACGTGAATTAAAGGAAGTTCTCACGAGTATTATTCTTTTACCTAAAATAAAAATATCTCTGCCTGGGTGGGGATCTCTATAAAAAGAAAACTCCTTCCCCACCCTTCCCTCATGGTAATTAAGTTTTGCTACCTTAATTATCTTCTCCATCAACCAAATTACCTGTTGCAGGACCTTATATACCTCACATAGTGCCAAATCTTGATGGGTCTAATTAACATTAAAAACCTGTATTTCTGAATACTTTCTAATCAGGTCTCTATGGACACAATGGTCTACTCCCTGCAAGTTACATTTTGCATGACTGTAAGTAATTTGTTTTTTGTTTGTTTGGTTTTTTTTTCACCCTTTACACCCTAACATCAGTATGCACAAATCCATATTCTCCAAACCCTTCCCTATACATTTCTTAAGGGATTGACTAGAAGAATTCTTTTATCAAGAAAGAGCTTCTTAACTGGTTGATAATTTTCCAAATTCTCCTTACCTTATCATTGATTGATTTATGGATGACACTGTTCACTCTCAGGAATTAAAGATTCAATTCTTCATGCTGCAGCCCCAGAGAAGTCGCTGTTATCATAGTGGCTACTATGTGACAACAATTCTTAATTTTCTCATTAAATTTGTTATCTTGTTTTATCAGTTTCATCATGCATAGATAAAAGTGCTGCTTGTCCATTGTGGGCGTCATCAGGAGAGTGTATCAGAAACACAGGGTGGATGGTGCAGAACTGCATGAAGTCTTGTAACAGTTGTCAAGGTAACTTGCTCGCTATCTTGATTGTATTAATTACATTTAACATCTGTCATCACAATTTTCTCAGCAGAGTCTCCCAGAAAAATATTATTCCCATGTCAACTTTTTAGCAATTTCATTTCCAAAATAGTTCTCTCACCAGGAGTACTGATCATTTCTTTTGATAGCACTGGACACGTCAGTCAGTGGATTGTTCTGGAACACACCCACTCTTTTATGGGTGACACCATATTTGGGACTGGATACACCCACTGGCATGGAGTTCTTGTGTGTTGTGGGCATTTTACTTTCACTCATCCTCCTTGTGTCACAAAGATGCAGAAACTGCCTTACTTACCTGATGCTGTGGTTCCTCTACTACTCCATGTTACCGGTGAGTTTTATTTTCACACTGCTTTTCCTCCCATATTTTTGCCTTTTAGGTACCAGTGTTTTAAATTGTTTCTTGACATGTTTTTTGGTTATTAAAATAAGTCAGTAAGTTGTTATTATTTAGATCTACATGACTTGTCTTTGGGAAAGAAAAATTAATGTTCACCACTGATAGCTCAAAGTAGATTTTCGTTAACTAAAGGTTACTGTCAACAAGATCTGGTCAAAATTTTAAAATTTTGTTTCTTTCCTCTTTCATTAAAGAGAGCAACTAAGTTTCAAAGAAAATAACAACATCTTAAAAAGAATGGGAGCTATAGCAAAAAGAATGTATAAGGGGCCAGGAACCTATGCCATAGAGCGAGGGGTGTCATGATCCAAAAGGTCTCTTGCAGAGTGTTGCCATAATCTATGGGTTTTTACTTGGGATCTCGATTAGCATATTTGTTTACATCACGTCTTGCATTGCACAACTAGAGGAAATTTTTGGCTTATTTCACAAAATTTTGAGAGATAAGAGTCTTCATAAAACAGCAAAAGAGAGTATATGTGCAAGAGAGCTCAAGCCGATAATGTTTTGAATCTATTGGAGGTCAGACAAGTAAATGATGTCACCATAAACAACATTTTGATTTTTTATCAGATAAAACGAATAGATTTTATGTTGTCTTGGGTGTGAACATTAATAGATCATAGAAGACTTCAAAATGTGGCATTAAGAACACCAGTGACACTCTCAGCTGCATCAATTTAATTTAAGTATATCTTACCACATTTTGACATTTCTGCGGCAGTAGTGTTGTTTTCCATGGTGGGGTTGGTGACCTCATGGCTAACCTTCCTCCTTTACGCATGCCTAGACCAGCAAGTGGCTCAAAAGACCCACTTAGCAGAGTTGCCCCTGTGAGAAGGAGCAATAGGCTTCAGATAGATAGTTTACCATGTTCTGATGTCATCTATGATCTATAACTCAACAGAAGCAAGGCAACATGGAATCTATCTATTATTAAGTATTTATAAAGATTAACTGATGGTCTTTCTTGACAGGTTGGTCAAATATTCATTCAGTATCAGTGGTAAGTAATGTGTGACTGTGAAAAACTTGATACTTTTCTTACTGTCCAGGACCAAGGAGTGTTATGTTATATTGTACTGGATGTCTTATTGAATGTTCATAGTCATTTAGACAGTCCACAATCCCTTAGTTGTTGAGTCATGTAGGTGACCTTATTCGGTATGTAATATTACTGCTTCTAGGGATGCACTCCTGTGGGAATCAGGATTTCTTGCCTTTCTGGTTGCTCCCTGGAACATTGTTTTTGCACCCTGGAGAATTGGAAAACTAACATTGTTCAAGTGCAGATGTCTCAGGTACAGTCATTTTGTGAGTTGATCAGTTGTGGGTTATTCATTCAGTCAGTCAGTCATTCAATCAGTTAATCAGTCAATCAGTTAATCAGTCAATCAGTCAATCAGTTAATCAGTCAATCAGTCAATCAGTCAATCAGTTAATTAGTTAATTAGTCAATCAGTAAATCAGTCAGTCAGCCAGTAAGTCCACCAGTCATTCACTTGGTCACTTGATTAGTTAGTTGATCAGTCTGTTTGTCAGTCAGTCAGCTATTCAATCAGTCATTCAATTAGTTAATTAGTAAGTTAGTCAATCAGCTAGCCAGTCAGTCAGTCAGCTACCTATGTAGTCAGTCAGTCATTTAGCCAGACAATCAGTCGGTCAGTCATTTTGCCACTCAATCAATCATTCAATAATCAATTAGTCAGTCAGTCATTTAGACAATTGAGCATCCAATTAGCAAGTCAGTCAGGTACCCTTAATCAGTCATTTTAATCAGTCACCCAGACTGTCACTCAGTCAGTTATTAAGACAGTTAATCAGTCAAAAAGTTAGACGGTCAGTTGGTTCGTCAGTCAGCCAATCATTCAGAAGTCCATCAATGGTTGATTAAGTAAGACGGCAAGTCGGTGAGATAGTCAGTAACAGAGTGAGTCAGTGAATGGAGGGGCATAGCTATTTAGTTGAACTGTCAGTCAACATTAAGTCAGTTCTGAAAGCAGTGAATCAGTTTTTCATCCTGTAAGTCTGTTACAGGCAACTCTCACCTCATTAACTTGACTGTTTTAACGTAATTACCGACAAAATTTTTGGCGCTACTCTTTGTCAGGTACATCTCAAGGCATCATGACAATGTAACCCTGTGGCTGGTTAAGTGGTTGTTGTTTCGTCTAATGTTTGCTTCAGGAGTTGTTAAACTGACATACATGGACAAAACGTGGTGGGATCTCAGCGCCCTTAACTGGCATTATGAGTCACAGGTAAGGAGAGAATCACTACTGTCCATCCTGTTCATTTGTTAAACAAAACATGAAATACCTTTGGCTAGAGACCGAGTGGAGGAGGGGGGGGGGCACAAAACCACACTCTATCAAGAGCAAACCAGCTCAAAAGCCATGCGTTTATCAATTCGTATGCCTTTCAATCTGCACCTACTAACGTGCATTTAGGTACCATATGAAATGGTCACTTTTCTGTAAGAGCCGGAGTTTGAGCTGTAGATAAAGCTCCTATCTTCAACAGCATATTCTTCGCGCAGCAGAGCAAGAGAGACGAAGTTCTAAGTTTTTCTATTTCTTCCTTTAAAAACTCACTAAGGTACCTCATGAGGATTTTAATTTTCGTTGTACTTGATTTATCACTGAGTTAAGACTCTGATTCCAAAGAACGAACTTGAAACTATGATGGTAGCTTTTTCAGATGCCCAAACAGTATTGAAACTCCTTTTTTACTTCATATCCGAAACTTTTTCAAGGTACAAAAAGCGCTATTTTTTATGTGTTTTAACGCCCAAGTGTGTGAAAGGAAAGTTTGAGGAGACATGTTTTTCTTTTTATCAGTGCATTCCCACACCAGTTGCATGGTACTTTCAAAAACTCCCTGTTTGGTTCCATAGACTCAGTGTAGTTATGACGTAAGTACATTTGCAAAAAAGCTATTAATAATATGTAATATAGGTGTCATTTTAGCATAATAAATTCCAAACAAAAACAAACAACAGCAGAAACAAGAACACGGCGAGTGCGGGAAAATGCTCAGTTGTTGCTACCTGGTGTGACTTATGGAACGCATTTGATTAGCGCCAAACGGAAGAAAACGCGCAATCAGTGCACGATGGGATATGGCAGCCACCGCTAATCGCGGGAAACATGCGAAAATGAGTCCGGACGGTAGCCTGACTAGAAAATCCCCCTTTTTTGCGCTAGCTTTTGTGCAGCCATAAAGGCGGTCTATAACCACGGGCAAATATGTCACAAGAGTTAATT